TTCACCTCAGGTTCTTCATCTGTAAAATGGGGATAATAACAGCACCTACCATAACTGTACTGAGATGATAAAATGAGATAATATTTGTAAAATACTATGCAAACTTTAAAGCACTATAGAAATGCTAGGTATAATTAACAATTTTGGCATTTGTGGACATATGAAAAATATTTCCCATAGCTTCACATGTGTAATGGACATCATAGTGTTTGCCTTCTCAATGGCAGGGGTAAAGGGGGGAGGTAGAAGGAGGGAGAGAATTGGAACAGAAAATTTAAAAATGAATATTTAAAAAAAAAAATTTCTAGGTTTGAGTTAAATGAAAATACAGATGACTTGCTTCTTATATTTGTGAATGCTATGAACCTGTGGGTGTGTGTGAAGGGGAAGAAAGGTGATATGTTTGGTGACAAAATAATACTAGCTTACATGCATATTGGCCTTCAAGAATTACCGAGCACATTTTATCCATTTATTGCCGTTGAATCTTACAAGTTAGGTATTACAGATCTCAATCAATAAACATTTATTAAGTGCCTACTATGTGCCAGGCAAAAGGGGGCAAAATACAGTAGCTGCCCTCAAGGAGCTTGCAATCTAATGGGGGAGAAAACATGTAAACAAATATTTACAAAACAAACTATATAGAGGATAAATAAGAGTTAGTTAACAGAGGGGAGGCACAGGAATTAAGAGGGGTTGCGGAAGGCTTCCTGTAGGAGGTGGGATTTTAGTTAGGACTTGAAGGAAGCTAGGGAAGCCAGCAGGCAGAGAAGAGGACAAGACAGCATTTCAAGCATGGGGTAGAGCCAGTGAAACTGCCCAGTCAAGAGATGGACTCATTGGTGAAAAAGCCAGGAGGCCAGTGCCACTGGATGGAAGAGTACACGGAGGAGAATAAGGTATGTGAAGACAGGAAAGGTAGCAAGGGACCAGGTTTTGAAAGGCTTGAAAGACCAAATAGAGAATTTTGTACTTGATCCTGGAGGTGATAGGGAGTCACTGAAGTTTATTGAATGGAGGGTGACATTTAGGAAAATGTGCTTTAGGAAGATTAATTTGACATCTCCCTAATCGATCTGCTTTCCCATTCACCAGAAACGTTTTTTTGTTTGTTTGTTTGTTTCTTTCTTTTTTAAGGCAATTGGGGTTAAGTGACTTGCCCAGGGTCACACAACTAGTAAGTGTCAAGTGTTTGGTCTGAGGTCGGATTTGAGCTCAGATCCTCCTGACTTCAGGGCTGGTGCTCTATCCATTGTGCCACCTAGCTGCTCCTCATAAATGCTTTTCCAAATGTCTTTTATCCCTCCTCAGGCCTCCCACAACTCCACCTCCTTCCACCCTCTCAGCTGAGAACATGGCCTCAACTTGAGACGCTTGGCTAAAAGGTCCCTCTTCTCCCCTCTCCTCATCTCACATCACTCAGATCCCTTCCACCACTAGCTTCTCCTCTACCACTGTCTCACGTGATGAGGTGACCCTTCTCCTTGCCAAAGCAAATCCTTCTACATTTACAAGTGATCACATGTCAGTCCATCTTTCCTAGGGGATTACTTCTTCCTCACCCCCCCCCCCCATTAGTGTCCACTCTATCTCACTAATAGTCTTTCTCTCCCTCTCTATGTACTACTTCAGTACTGTCTACCTTGGGCAAGTCACCTAACTTTATTTGACTCAGTTTCCTCATCTGTAAAATGAGCTGGAGAAGGAAAAGGCAAGCCATAAAGTATCTTTGTAAAAAAACAAGCAAACAAACAAAAAAAAACTAAATGGGGTCACGAAGAATAGGACCGGACTGAAAGGAATGAACAACAACAAAAATAAATATACCGATGTCTTCCCTGTTCTCAAAAAAACCCTCATTTGTTCCATCTAGTATCTATTGTCTCCCTCTTTCCTTTTATGGCTAAATTCTTTGAAAAAGCTATTGATTAACAGAGGCCATCATTTTCTCTTCTCTCACTTTTTTTTAAATTAACATTTTTAAAATTACTTGTAAAAACAGTTTTAACATTCTTTTTTAAAAATTTTGAGTTCCAAATTCTCCCCCTCCCTCTCCTCTTCCCCTTGAGAAGGCAAACAGTTTGACATATGCTCTCACTCTCTTCCTAACCCCTTACAATCTGGCTTCAGACCTCATCTTTCAACTAAAACTGCTCTCTGTGGAGTAACCAATGACGTCTTAGTAGACAAATACAATGGCTTTTTTTTGTTTGTTTTTTTGTTTTTAGGCAATTGGGGTTAAGTGACTTGCCCAGGATCACACAGCTAGAAAGTGTCAAGCGTTTGGTCTGAGTTCGGATTTGAACTCAGGTCCTCTTGACTTCAGGGCCGGTACTCTATCCGCTGCGCCACCTAGCTGCCCCAATGACTTTTTTTCAATCTTTGTTCCTGACCTCTCCGTAGCCTCTGACGCTTTCGGTTACCTCTTCTCCATAAGACTCTCTTCTTGCTAGGTTTTTGTGATACTGGTTTCCACTATTCTATCTGTCTGACCACTCTGTCCCCTTTGCTTCATCCACATCAGACCCACCAAGAGTAGGGACCCCCAAGGCTCAGTCCTGGGCCTTCGTCTTTCCCTCTCTACTATTTCACTTGGTGATCTCATCAGGTCCCATGATTTCAATGATCATCTCTATGCAGCTAAATCTCAGTTCTGCTTGTCCGGCGCTAACTGCTCTCCTAATCTTCAGTCTTGAAGCTTCAACCGATTATTAGACATCTCAAACTGTACAGGCTACATTTTACTAATTGCAGATGTCCCCCCCACATCTTAAACTCAACATGTCCAAAACGGAATTCATCTTTCTTCTCCAACCACACCTTCCTGCCTTCCTAACTACCATATTACTGGTCAGGGTACCACCCCATCCTCCCAGTCACTTAGGCTTGAAACCTAGGTGTTATTTTTGATTCCGTACTCTCTCACTCCCAATATCCAAAGAGTTGCCAAACTCTGTTGTTTCTACCTTTCTAACATGTCTTGTACACTGTCTCTTCTCTCCTCTGACGTTGCCACCACCCAGATGTAGACTGTCATTACTTTATACCTGGAATATAATATATTATAATATAATATACTATAATATAATATAATATAATATAATATAATATAATATAATATAATATAATATAATATAATATAATATAATATAATACAATATAATATAATATGATATGATATGATATGATATAACATAACATAATACAATACCACACAATATCATATACTATATAATGTAATGTAATATACCATACCATAATATAATATATTATATAATACCATATAATATAACATAATACAACATAATACAACACAACATGATGCAACATGACACGATATGATCCGATATGATATGACATGATATAATAGGCTGCTGGTTGGTCTCCCTGCCTCAAGTCTCTCCCCACTCCAATCCATCCTTCCTAAAATCCAAGTCTGACCATGTTATTCACCTACTCAGTAAACTCTGGTGGCTCCCTATTACCTCTAAGGTCAAATAGAAAATCCTGTTTGACTTTAAAGTCCTTCATAGCCTGTCCCCTTCCTACCTTTTCAACCTTCCTCTATCTTGGTCAGTTCAGTGACCCTGGTCTCCTTGAACAAAACAATCCTCCTTCCAACTCCAGGATTTTCACTGGCCATCCCCCATGTCAGGAACTCTTTCCCTCCTCATCTCTGCCTCCTAGTTTCTTTGGCTTCCTACAAGTCTCAGCTAAAGTCCCATCTTTTGCAAGAAGCTTTTCATAGTCCTTCTTGATTTCTGCATCCTTCCTCTGAGATTACTCCCAGTTTATCCCATATATATCTTGTTTATACATAGCATTTTCATGCTGCTTTACATTGTATCCTTAGCACTTACCACAGTCCCTGACACATAGTAGTTACTTAACAAATGCTATTTGACTGACTGACATCTGAATATAGGTTGGACTAGGAGGGAGGGAGGCTATTACAATAGGTGATGAAGGCCTGAATCATGGTGATGGTGTTGTCAGAGGAGAGAAGGGGGCATATATTAGAGATGCTACAAAGGCAAAAATCTACAGGATGTGGCAACAGATTGGATATGGGAGGAGGGGGGGAAAGAGTGAGGAGTCAAGGATAACAACTAGGTTTCATGTTTGGATGACTGGGTGGACAACGGTTCTTTCAACAGTCACAGGGAAGTTAGGAATAGGGGAAGGTTTGGGAGGAAAGATAATGAGTTCCCTTTTGGATGTGTTGTTTTTAAGACGTGTATGAGACATCCAATTGGGATGTTTATTACTCAATTGGAGACTCCAGTCTGGAGGTTAGAAAAATGCTTTGGACTGGACAATTAGATCTTAGAATCCTCAGCATAGAGATGATAACTGAATCAATGGCAGCTGATGAAATTCATCCAGGTAGCAAGTATCAGATTGGAGCCTGGGTCTATCCTCACTTAAACTCCAGCCCTTAACCCACTGCTCCATGTTGCCTCTCTCAGGGATAACAACAATAAATAATAACCATAGCAGGTGTTTATATAGGGCTTTAAGGCTTGTGAAATGCTTTTGGAGGCAGTTGGTGACACAGCACCCAGAGCCCTGGGCCTGGAGTCAGGAAGACCTGTGTTTACGGCTGACCTCGGACACTCACTAGCTGCGTGACTCTGGGAAAATTCCTTAAACTCTGTTTCTCTCAGTTTCCTCAGCTGTAAAATGGGGATAATAATAGCACCTACCTCATAGGGCCGTTGTGAGGATCAAATGAGATAATATATGTAAAGTGCTTAGCCTGGCACATAGTAGGCACTATAAAAATGCTTTTTCCTTCTCTACATGTGTTATCTTATCTTCCCCCTGGAGAGGGGAAGGGACCTACACTAGGTCACAGGGATTAAATGTCAAAGTCAGGATTTAAACTTTCTGTACTCTGATTCCATGTCCAGTATTCTTCCTACTACATATACTAGATTGCATTGCATTGCACTGAAATGAATTGAAATGAATTATCATCATTGTGATTTCTGCAGGGAAAGCCATGGCCGCTACTGGAACACCCCCTCCACCTTGGGATGAACATAAGCCAATCGAGGAAGATACTGCACAATCAGGTTAGACCAGATCTACCTCTGATCTCCAGAAGGTGAAGACCAAGCAGTATGACCTTCGGAAGAAGGAGCTCGTTGCCAGAGGGATGGGGGAGGATGACTTTGGTCTAGCGTATCTTTCCATTGCTGTTGGCCCTGTGGCCTGGGGTACAGGTAGCTTCCTGCACTTCTTTACCTAGTTTCTCAAGAGTTCCAGATGCGGGGATTTCCTAGGCTTTATCCATATCCCAGGATGGAGCCTTGGAGCTCCTGAATGTTTGGGTTGGGGTTGGATAGATCTAAACTTTATAGTCATCTGAAAGAGGACCCCATCTGGCCCAGGAATAGAAACTATGGGGAAAAGTTTGCTCTATTCCCTTTCCCTTTAGGAGAGACAAAGATCCCAAAGTCTTATTTAAGTAAAATTTTAACTCCCTTAGTACTTAACACAGTTCTCTGCCCACCATGAATGTTTCTTAAATATTCATTGAATTTGTCATACTGAAAAGCCCACTAGTGAAACCACTCTGGGATAGATCAAAGATTGGGGGGGGGGGGAGTGGAAACCAGGATTTAGAATCAACTGACAGGGGAGATTATTGGGACTTCCAAGTCAGAGCCATGTCCACTGAGGACTATCCCACTAAAACTACTGTCCATTGTTGACTAGAGTCCCAAGGACTCTCAAGGTCACCTAATGAATTGTAGTTGTGGGACAGAAACATTCATAAAATAGTAAATTAATTATTCCTCAGATTCATAAGATTTTAGAGGTAGATCATATAGCATCAACTCCTCATTTGTAGGTCTGTACTACTGCCATTATGATCCCTATTTTACAGAGGAGGAAGTTGGGGCCCCCTCTGTAATGACCAGGTGTCCCTCTGCTCACCAAAGTTCAAGAGAACTCCTGGTTGAGTAGAAAAGCCAGAAACTCTCTAGTGATCCATGATCTCTGATACAAGAGGGTGAAGGCAGGCCTGATCAAAGTCTTCTGTCTTACGTGTTTCACAGAAAAAACAACCAAAGTCCATGAAAAAGAAGAGGAGCATCCTCTTTCAGAAGGAGAATATAAAAATACCACTTCCTTTCCACCTCCATCACCACCACCACCAAAGTCATCGTCATCATCATCGTCATCGTCGTCCTCATCATCATCAGGTAAAACAATTTTCACTTTGAATCTACTTTTAAAAATGTTTTTTTTATTGATGTTTTATTTTCCGTTTCTTACATCACCACATTATCCCAATTATCCCTTCCCTAGCCTCTGTTATCAGTAAATAATCCTCTGCTTGGGATGTTTAGGGCAGTCTTGGGTGTGGTTTATTACCCACTTGAACAGATCAGTATTTCCATTTATTTCATTACCTCTTGCCTTATGTTCCTCATCTCCATCCTCTTCAGGAAAAGTTAAGTTCACTGAAACATAGCTCTGACTTTTGTGGTTGCTTAGTAGTAATTGTGTTCTTTTCATTTTAACATTTTTATTATTCTTTAATTTAAAAAAGTTTTATTGATTTTCTGTGATTATCCTCAAATCTGGACTCTGTTCTTACAGAGAGCAACAGTGATGAGGACCAACTCCATAGGATTGACAAAAAGCCCCATCCAGGTGAGCTCACTAGCAGTGGTGTTAAAATTGACCTGTGTGGAAGGGGAAAATCAAAGCACTAGAGACTCTTAGAGTTGGAAGTAGAGCTATGGCTGGGATCCCGCACTGGGGCAGCTGCAAGTTTACCCCAAGTCAACTTTTTAAGACAGATTCAACTGGGAGTTGGTAGAAGAATGGGAAAGACCTGGGAAAAGATCGCTGACCTTTGGACAGAAGTTGCCCTATGGGGAGAAACCCCAGCATGCTGGCTCATTGGTGGGACCTGGGAAGCTGGTAGAGAGACTATCCCCTAGGGAGACACCAAGGAGGTCCAAGTCCAAGATTCACCTGATTCAGCAAGATATTGCTGAAAGGGGGAGGAAGTACCATCTTTTAATTGACTCATTATTCCTGCTATCTTGCCAACTTGGTGCTGTGCTTAATTATTTTAATCTGCTGAAGTTTTCAATCACAACTGCTCCCAATGTCCTTTACGTTTTGGCATCTTCTTGCCAAACCCTAGTCACCCAACCTTAGTCAGAAGAGATGCTGGAGTTCATTTAGTTCAAACTTTTTCTGAGCACAGGAATCCCTTCTCTAAGTAACCCTGACGGGTTGTCACCCAGCTTCTGGTGAAACTCTTCCTGGGAGGGGAAGGCTCATTGTTGGAAGGCTCCAATCGTCAATTCTTCCTTGTATTGAGTTGAACACAATGTGCCCGCTCATCTTAGTTCTACCTTCCAACTGCACAGACCAATCTTCTCTCCCCCCTTGGGATGGTGTCTCCAAGAGGCTCCAACCATTGCCTCGGTGTAGAATGCTTGCCCCCCTCCATTCCCCTATCCAGTTCCCTCCCACCCTTTAAGGCTCAGCTCAGATACTGCCTTCCCCATGATACTGTCCTTAAGCCTAGCAGAGTGTAATGTCCCTTGATGACATTTTCTCCCCTTTTGCATTTTCCTTATATTCCAGTTACTTGGCTTCATGATTCATCTCTCTTGCTAGACAGCAAACTCTGTAGAGACAAGGACTAAGGCTTCTTCATCTCTGTATTCCCTTCTGGTGCCTGGGAAAGAGCCTTGCACATAATAAATGTCTGTGTTCTCATCCAGATATCGTCAAAGATGAGCCAGGGATGAAGAAGGATGAGCTTCAGCTCTATGAAGGTAACTCAATTCAACTCAACAGACATTTCATATGATCATAGAGCGAGAGATGGAAAGGACCTTAGAGGTCATCAAGTCTAACCCCCTCATTGCACAGGTGGGGAAACCAAGACTGAGAGAGTAAGTAATTTGCCCAGGGTCTCACAGCTAGAGTAAGAGGCTGGATTTGTAAGAGGCTGGATTTGAACCCAGGTCTTCTTAATTCCAAGTCCAACCAACCACACTGCCGTATACGCACAAGGCACTCTAATAATTGTTAGGAATACAAAAACAAAAATCAAGCAACCCCTGCCCTCAAGGAAGTTACATTCTGTAAGGAGGGAATTTAACTCCTACACAGGTAGATAACTACAAAATCAGTAAGTTAATTAATTGATGAGTAATTAATTAATACACTGATAATTAATAAGAAATCATTTTAATAGTGATTCAGTACTAACCAATGGGTAAATGAGGAAAGGTTACCATCATTTCAGAAGAAGCCAGAATGAGGTGCTATTGGCATGAAAACAATCAGCAAAATGGTTTCCAAAGGAACGTTAATAGCTCACCTTTAGGAGGCAGCTAAATGGTATAGTAGATAGGGTGCTGGACTTGTAATCAGGAAGTCCTGAGTTTGAATCCCACCTCAAACACTTGCTAGTGGTGTGACCCTGGACAAGTCATTTACTTCTCAGCTTCAGTTTCCTCATCTGTAAAGTGGGGATGGTGATAGCACCTCATCACAGGATTGTTATGATGATCAGATGAGATAATACATGTAAGCTCAAAGTGCTATATAATTGTTAGCCATTATTATTATTTGTACTTTATATAGAGATCACAAGTTTGTAATATGTTTTATATTTATTATCTTGTTGCAGTAAATTCTTAGTAGCCTCAAAAATGACAGCAACATAGTAAGAATGACCAGAAAAATTCCTTGTTTCTCTGAGAGGCAAAGGGCCAAAATTGAGAACGATGTCCCAGAAAAAGCAACTTATTCATGTAAACAAGAAAATGAGCTTTAACTTATTTTTCAACTCACTGCTTCTCAACTTAGTAGGAGTATAACTTAGGTCTTCATTGTCTATCAGACTCTAATAGTAATTGGTATTCTTGTTGGAAGTTCTGCATCAGTTGGTTCTTTGCAGTTAGGCAGCTTCCACTAGTCATTTTTAGAAGGTCTGGCCAATGTTTACAAGAATGTAGGTCTTCATGCTTTTGACAACTACTCAGTGCTCATATGTGTGTGTGTGTGTATGTGTGTATGTATACATGTATGTATATACACACAGACACATATATACATATATATTTCTAAAGGTCTTATGCCTCTTAAATAACATGCTACTTAAAACTTATTCCTTATTTTCTATTTCCAAATGTAACAATAATGGATAGATGCTGATAGTTTTCATTTGTTTTGGGGATGGGGTAGATTCTCCTGGAGAGATAAAACCCTATGATGAAACAGGTAAATATCCCAGTTATAAGTCTGTCATTATTGCAGAAACAAATGTGTTCTCCATATTGCAGGAGGGCGGAAACTAATGTTTAGTTTCTTGTTTACAGGGCTCAGAAGAAGAGAAGTTGTACCATCAGATGGTAAATATATAAACTAAAAGTGTGGTGACAGATATTGGGTCTGCCTCTAGGGTAAAACATTGCCAGAGACATTCAAAGGCTGTGGGTAGTAAGAATGCTAGCAACACAGGGCTGGTCCTCTATACAGGTTGAACAGACAGGCACCTACCTAGTGGGATTTGAGGTACACCGGGAAAGGGTCTCTGCCTCCTAAAATGCCTCCTTCCTTTCCTACCTAACATAATGTCTGATATTCCACCATTCATTCACTTGGATCGTTAAGGGTTCTTGGGCAACAGTGTTAGTGAAATGTGACTTGTATTCGAGTTTGAGTCTGTCCTCTATCATCTCTGAGTTCTATGACATTGGACAAGTCACTTCACTGGTCACTTAGTACCCACCTTACAGGGTTGGTGTAGTGATCTCATGAGATAATAAACGCAAGGTGCTTTGTAACTGTACAGCATCACATAAAAGGCAGCTATTGTTGTTGTTACTGTTGTGGTCCTTTGTTTTCGAAGAGGACTAATGACGTCATGGGGTGATTGTTATAACTATCCCTAGGAGGGACCACCTGAAGCCATCATTAGCTCTCCCCTTAGCAAGAGAGTATCTGGGGATCAGAAAAGCACTAGGATTGGGGACGGAGGAAAGAAAGGGAGGTGGGAAGGCACCAAAGTCAAACCTTGCAGACGCCTTTGAAGTTTTGCCAGCTGCAGACCAGCCTTTGCAGGTTAATCATTCACTCAATAAGTATTTATTGAATGGCTACTGTATACAGAGCACTATGTTAGGGGCTGGAGGAGATAAAAAAAATTAATTAAGACATGGTGCCTGCCTTCAAGAAACTTTATAAGTTGTGGAAATATGTTTTGCATAACTTAGAATATGTATAATGGGTATTGCATTTCTGGTCTTCTCAGTAGGTAGGGGAAGTAGTTGAAGGACAGAGAAAATTTGGAGTTGAAAATTTTTAAAAAAAACCATTTTAAACGATAGAAACTTTCCAGTCTAGTAGGTGATACCATCAAAGGTCTTAAGTGGTATAGGTGGTAATGTGAATAAGACTACTATGGGTTTAGAAGTCACTGAGTGGACTAAGCACTATATTTGGGGGGTTTGTACTCTCTGGTCTTATACTCTGAATTTGCAGTATAAATGAACCAGAGCTATTCCTATGGTTTGAGAAGAAAAGTCCTTTGCATTGAAAAAGAAAATTGAATTGAAAAAAGAATTGAAAGAGAAGAAATTAATTTTTCAAGTGAAAACCACCCCCTGAAAAGTCATTATCATCTTTACACAATCATCCTTTTGTTTTAAAGAGCCAGAAACAGAAGACATTCAGGCAAGAAGAATGAACATAAAGAAAGATGGTAAGAAACTCTCTAGGTGGCTCACAGCTACTTCTCCCCATTTTGGAGTCAGAGTTTTAAACTGAGTGGACCATATCTTATTGTAGTTTATTGTTCACACTTGGATAACAAAAATGAGGCAGAAACATTGACCACCTTCCCACAATGCTGAGATACTAGTAAGCTTTATGACCTTGAGCATATCACTTTTCCTTTCCCTTATATGTAAAATGAAGGAGATGTATTAGATGGTCTCCTATAATTCCTTTTAACATGGTTATTCTATGTTCAAAGGTACTTCCTAGGTCTGACATTCCAACTCTGATACTACCTATGTGATATTGGACAAGGTATTTCTACCCTCTGGTCCTCAGTTTCTTCATCTGTAAAAAGAGGGCATTGGATTAGATGATCTCTAAGACTTGAATTCCCTTCTCAGTCTAATATTTAATGACTGAACAGGAAATGTTTAACAGAACTAAGGAAACCAAAAGATTAGGCTCAGGAGAGATTCCTGAGAAGGTCTAAAGTGGGAAGAGACTTGGAAGACAGAATTTTAGATGATGCTTGTTTCAACCCCAAAGAATGGATATGGACTGAACTTATCCTGAAGGGAGAAGACAGGAAGTCATCTAATGGGTTTCTGTGAAGGAAGGACCTAGTGATCCCAACACAATTGAACTCACCTGTCATATGAAGGGGTTGGACTAGATCAAGGGGATCAAACTTCAGAGCAACTATTATCTGGGAAATATTGTTTCCCAAATTTGAGAAATGTTAAGCAAACTAAATAAAAATACAATACAGCATAGATAATGTTAATTTGTGATTTTCTTAGTCAATATGCTACCTGTGATTTGAGGTTGACACCACTGAATTAGATGACCTAGAAGCTCTTTGCTAACTCTAACGTTCTAGGATTCTAAGTCATGAAAAGAAAATTTTATAAGATGTAAGGAAAATGGGGCTGAGACAAAATGTAGGCATAATGTTCAAAGACTGGGCAGTAGACGGTATAGTAGAATTCACACACTTGCAGGGTTTAGTCATTTAGAGCTGAAAAGGACCTTAGCATCTGTCTAGTCTAACCCCTACATTTTATAGGTGAGAAACTAAGACCCAGAGATTCCCAGGTAGGACATGAGTTCAAATTTAACTGATGTTTATGACTGTGTGTGGAGCAGCACAGTATGTGCTAGGGGAGATATAATTTTTAGATAAGACATGGTCCCTATTCTCATGGAGTTTATAATTACACTATCTGTGAAGTCAATGACCCACTGGAAACTCCATATTGGAAACCCAATAATTTCTTCAATTATTTAAAGAGATAATTGGGGAAGCAGAACAGAGATTAATTTTCCATTCTTGCCTTTTCAGATGAATTTTTCCATTTTATCCTGCTTTGCTTTGCTATTGGAGCTGTGCTAGTTTGTTATCACTACTATGCAGGTAAGGCTGGCTTGGGGGAAAATGAGGAGTGAGAGAGAGAAAGAGAGAGAGAGAGAGAGGCCTGTTAGCGCTCATGAAGAAGCTAACCCACATTCTCCTTTGCTCGACTCCCTAGATTGGTTCATGTCTCTGGGTGTTGGGTTGCTAACCTTTGCTTCTTTGGAGACTGTTGGAATATATTTTGGCCTGGGTAAGTGGAACTTCAAGTACCCCATGAATCTGGTGGTGTAATTTGGTCTGCTTCAGTCACAAGCCACATATTACAAGGTATTCATATTACGTTACGGGTATGTATTTCCTCATTTAGGATTTATACCTCATCTACTTCCAAAAAGAATTTCAGAGCACTTGCAAAATTGAATAGAACAACATAAAAGGGGAGGGCTTAAAGTGAAAAAGAGAAAGGCACATTAAAAGGAACATAGAAACAGATGTTAACAGGTACCTGAAATAAGTTAATTATTGAAGTTAGGCACAGTGTGTAGCTCTGAATTTCTTGCCAACTCAAAAATTCATTCATTCATTCATTCGACAAGTCTTCATTGAGTCCCATTTGTCAAGGCCCAGTGTACTGTGGGGAAAACAAAGAGAGATGAAATTGAATTCTCAGAAGTTGCAATCTAGCAGGGGAGGTAAGAATATGTACACAGATAACAATAATACAGTGTATAATGTGAATGACCAATAAAATGATCACACAGTATGAATGAGAGTAGTGATAATACCAACCTGACTTAGGCCCTAAAATTTCCACTGTAGAATCTGCCTGATTTTAGGCTTTCTCGTTTGACAAAATGTCACCCCTTTAGGAAGGCTTCAGCCATCATTAGTCATTTACAACTCAATGGAAATGAGTTTTTCAGAACCTTTCCTGAGAGCAGACTTTCATATAGAGTAAAGATGAGAGAGCATGAGGGCAAAGGGAGAGAGGATAAAGCCAAGAAAAGGGCATGAAGAGAGGGGACAGGACGCTCAACTAAACTTCCCTTTGTCATTTGAGAAAAGGGACCTAGAAATGTGGCTGGAACCCTGCCAGCCTATCTTGTTGCTCCTAACAGTTACCTAGAACACGAGTCCAGAAGCAGGAGAAACTGTTGTCCTACTCCACACTAAACAGCAAGGTCAAGTAGGGCTGTGACCTTTCTTTAAGGCCATAACTGGGAATTCTTGTTCTGGGACAAATTTAGTCAAGTAAATATCTGGGAGGTAGAGTACAGGCGGGAGAACAGACTGCCTTGATCAGTTGCAGTTGCTCTGGGTGGTGGGGTAAGATTGTCCAAGGGAGTCTGGTCTATGAGTCTGCAATTATGCTAACCAACAGTTCCTGACTCCCAAACCACTGGAGAAGATGGGGTGGGAAGGGAAATCAGCAAGTAGGAGAAAGAAGACTCAGGGAGATAATTGTCATAGCGACAAGAGCTAGAGGATGCCCCCCTAGTGCAAGTTCTCCTGCAATGATAGGGGTTCATGAGGGACAGTGAGGAATTAGGGCAATGGGCCAGAGGAAACCTATAGGGAGAAAGTATACTCCTCATGGAGATTGGCGCCCTATGACAAAGCTCCTGTTACCCTACCCTGGTTATGTCTCTGCCTTTCTTGCCCTACAAAGGTTAGGCAATGTCTCAGAGACATGCGGTCCTAAGGCAGTAGAGGGCCCTGAACTGGTGGGAAGGTCACTTGTCTTAAGGGTTGAACTAGATGGTTCTTAGTATTTTTCTAGCTTTAAATCTCTGACCTTAATGAATCCTGTTTTTGTTTTTCAACAGTATATCGGATTCACAGCATCCTTCAGGGTTTCATCCCCCTCCTTCAGAAAATAAGACTCATAGGTAACGTTTGAGTTTTTTCCTATGACCTCTTTGCTTTTACATGCTTATATTCTGCTCTGGCAGAGTCTCCTGATTCTAATAATGGTGATCCCTCCCTGACTTGTTATCTACAAAGCACTTTGTCACCCATGATCTCATTTGCTCTTTATAACAAACCTTGGGAGGAAGCAGGAGAAGAGATTATTATCCCCATTTTTTAGGTTAGGTAAGGGAGGCCCAGAAGGATAAAATCAGTCATCCAGCGTCATACAACAATTTAGTAATAGATCCAGGCCCCCCCCCCCATTTATTTAAATTGTTTTACAGTCAAAACCTGTGAGTATCCTTAGGGTCGCTCCCAGATCTCTGGCCCTCACTTTCTTCATCTGTACGATGTTGAATGGGAGAAAAGGGTTTTTAACCTTTTTTTAGATCATGAGCCCCTTTGGCCTTTGGGGAAAGCCTACAAACTCTTAGAATAATGACTTTAAATGCATAAAATAAAATACATATAACTGCCAAGGAAACCAATTAAATTGATCATTTTTTTAAAAAAGTTCACTGGTTTCGGATTAAGAATTCTTGGACCAGAGGACATGTAGGGGCCCTTGTAGTTCTAGTTCTATGAACCTACAAGACAATATCTGTAAGCCACCCAAATATCAGGAGAATACCAATTACAGTGAATTCAGGTTTGTATGTAGTTATTATGCAATGAAACAATTAAGCAATTAATTATTAAATCCAAGTAGTTCTAAGAGAAAATAAATTGGTCAAATAAGACACCTTGGAGACCATAACACAAGGCAATGTTTTCATTATAATGGAGTGTTCTGGTGAAAGAGAATGAGGACCTGTTGTGATCAACACCTCTTCACATTCTGCCTTCACCTCACAGGTTTCCGGAAGGCAGACTGACAGGTTGGTTTCAGGAGGACAACTGGCATCAGGCTGGACTTGGGCCCATCAATCCAGAAATCATAAAATCAATCATTCCAGAACAACACCTGGGGAAAGGAATCCTCAACCCATGCCTTGGTGGGAACTGTCTGCGAGAAATAAAAACGCTTTGTCCTTCAGCATCACCTGATAAGTCTGAGCATCAGACCAGCCAAGTCTTCAGGTCCTAAGCTCATGTCAGTTTTATTCTAAGGGGTGACTTAATAATCAAGGGGAGGGACAGGGAAATGGGAGGGAGTGGGAGAGGGTACATGTCTTCCCACCTGACTGGTTCTGATTCTGAAGGAGAGAAGATTTCATTGGAAAAGCCTTGGGAGACAAATGGTCTTATAAAGTGTCCTCAGAGTTCCTCCCAGCTTCGATCTGATCCGTAATGGCACTGACCATGACCTCCACTTTCGGGCTTCCTGTTTGCTCGACAATCTTCAGCCAAGTGGTATTTGTTGGTTTGGTCTCCCTATCGGTGGATACTTCCCCCAAACAGCAGGAATTCTTAGGCATCTGAACTCAAAGAGCTAGCCCTCGGGACCACCATCCAAGCCAAAGGGGATGGGATACTTTGACCTAACTCTTGAGTCAGACAGAGATGGATGGTTTCTTCAACCATTCAAGCTGAAAACTACAACCAGTAGCTACATGTATCATGCTGGGAGTGGAAAGAAGTCAGAATAAATTGTTTATGACCATGAAAACTGCAAGATGTCTTTTTTTTTTTTAAACTTTTTTTTTTGGGGGGGGGAGGATTAGGCAATGGAGTTAAGTGACTTGCCCAGGGTCACACAGCTAGTAAGTGTTATGTGTCAGAGGCCAGATTTGAACTCAGGTCCTTCTGACTCCAGGGCCAGTGCTCTAGCCACCGCACCACCTAGCTGCCCCTAGGCTTTTTTTTCTTTCTTTTTTTTTTTTTTTAGTGAGGCAGTTGGGGTTAAGTGACTTTCTCAGAGTCACACAGCTAGTGAATGTCATGTATCTGAGGCTGGATTTGAACTCAGGTCCTTCTGACTCTAAAGCCAATGCTCTATCCACTGCGCCACCTAGCTGCCCGAGTTTGTGTCTTACATCCATCCCCCCGAGCCAGTCATGTTAGCTGCTTTTGGCTTGATCTGACTCTAAATACATTTATCTTTGTCTTGGATTTGTAGAACTTATATAATATTCCTTTGTATTTCTGTATTGTATTTTCTCAAGGAAGGATCATTCTCTCTACCCGCCCCCAGCCTCTTAAAGATCTAGAATATGGGTGGAAACCAAGATGGGAGGTAGTGTGGCCCAGTGGTTTTGGAGTCTGAGGACCTGAGTTCGAATCTTGCCTTTGGGCAAGTCACTTACTTGGGCCTTGGTTTCTTCATCTATGAGAGGTTTCTTCTCATAAGGGTATTGGACTAGATGGCCCTGTCTAGCTCTGGACCTATGATCCTTTAAGATGAACTCCAACAGGGATAAGTGGAATGAGAATTATTGAACTTGGTTTAAAAAACAACCAACCAACCCAGCTGTGCAAGCACCGAACTGGGAAGACGGGGCTTAAAGGCACATCACATGAAAAAGACCTGAAGCTTTTAGATGATGAGGCCCTCAGGATCAGTCAACAACAGTGTGATGTGACTGCCGAAAACGTTAATTTGGTCTTAGATTGGATTAAAAGAAATGTGGCAAATTGCTTGGGGCAGTTAGGTGGCGCAGTGGATAGAGCACCACCCTGAAGTCAGGAGGACCTGAGTTCAAATCCAGCCTCAGACCAAACACTTGACACTAGCTGTGAGACCCTGGGCGAGTCACTGAACTCCAATTGCCTAAAAATCAAAAAAAAAAAAAAAAAAAAAAAGAAATGACTGAGGAAAGGGCATGGACCTTAAAGAAAACTATATTAAATGGAAGAAAGGAAAACAGTTTTCCCCCCAGCAGTGCTACTAACTCTGGCAAATTGCTTCCATCAGTCAATAAACATTTATTAAGCACCTACTATGTTCCAGGCACTGTGCTAAGAGCTTGGGATGCAAATACAAAAAAAGAAAGACAATCCGTGCCCTCAAGGAGCTAACAATCTAGTTGCAGAAGACAACACACAAGGAAAGTGAAAAGTGGGGGGGGTGCTGGGTGGAGTATCCTGTGCGGGGCACGATGGAGCCCAAACGAGTGCAGCTGGGCAAAACATGAAGCGTCGCCTGGCTTGGGCATCTTCCTTAAACGGGGTTTTGGGGGCAGCTCTCCATGCTGCCCTTCCATCGGAGGGGTCCCAGGGCAGAGAGTCCCGATGAAATGTGAGTACCGGGGCTGATGGGATCTTGCAGGATAATCAGGTTTCTGGGGCAGGAAGAGAAATCTGGTACAGCTACAAGAGGAGCCAGATGAGAGAGTGTAGATGCCTCAATGCAAAGCCATTGTTAAAATTAGAAAAACAACATGGGCGGGGTGGGAGGAGCGGAAGGAGAAGGAAGTGGAGACTGGGGATCCTTATTCTTCTGCAGAGGGTGAAGAGACTATGGGAAGGTTAATTCCTGCTCAGCCGAGCCTTAAGTGGCTGAAACTTCCCTTCGGGCAAATTCAGTTGGTGGTTGATGGTGGGAATGGGGAAGGAAACAAAACTCAGTCCCAGAAGAAGAATAGGATGGGGCGGGAGAGGGGGTAAAAAGGGTAGTGAGGGACGGTGGGAAAGGACCACAGGTGCTGCCAAACTGGGCACAGTCCCTACCTCAAGCGCAATCGTACCAGAAGAGGGCACCCAACATCTTAGGGAAGCCTATGGAGATAATGGCACCCCAGACAGGCTCCGGGCCAGCGCTATTACACCCCATACTCGGTAAGGTGCTGGTGCACTCGGTCAGTTTATTGCACACTTCCCGTTTAGTCACTGCTTATGACACTAGAAATAACAGCAGAGTAGAAAGAGTGATGGCTGGAAGACCCCATTTCAAATCCTGCCTCTGCCACATAGCAGTTGCGTGGTCTCCGTCATGTCTGAACTTTCTTTTGCTGGCTTTTGTACGTTTTAAAATGTTTTATTGATGTTGTTTCCTGTTTAAAATAAAGTTTATTGATATCTCTTGTGTTTCACATCATCAGAATTTCTCCCAATTTTCTTCCATTTCCTCCTACCAGAGAGCCATCCCATATAACAAATAGTAATTTTTAAATTTTTAAAGAAAGAGAAGAGACAGAAAAATCTGTAAAACCAATCAATATATCAAAAAATGTCTTAAAATGTATGAAATGTACCACATCTGCAGCCCTGCAAAGAGATGGAGAGGGAGGTGTCTTCTTAGGAGCTCTGCTTGTTCTTCCTAATTTTGTAAAATTCACTTTCGATTTTTCTTTCCATTGACATTGTTGTGACCATTGTTTATATCAGTTTCTTGGCTCTGTTAACTTCACTCTGCATCAGTTCACGTAGATCTTGCCATGTTTCTCTATATTTATTCATTACATACTTCATTTCTTATGGCACATTACATTCATGTACCACAATTTATTTAGCCATTTCCCAACTGATAGGCATTTAATTTCTTTGCAATTCTTTGCTTCCACAAAAAGTGCTGCTACAAATATTCTAGTGTATATAGGGACTTTCTTCTTGTCAGTGACCTCCTTGAGGTATAAGCCTAGTACTGAAATCTCTAGGTCAAAGGGCATGAACATTTTAGTCAATTTATTTGCATAATTGCAAATTACTTCTCAAAATAATTGTACTGATTCACAGCTCCATCAACAATGCACCAGTGTGCATATCTTCCCACAACCCCTCTAACATCAACTACTCTCAACAGGTTATCTCATTTAATCCTCATGACAACCCGGAGAAGTGTGTTTGTTATCCCCATTTAATAGATGAGAATACTGAGGCTGCCAGTGTTTCAGTGTGACTTGCCCAAGGTCCCACAGCTAGGTAAGTGACTGAGGTAGGCTGTGAACTCACACCTTCTTGACTTCAATCTCCTAATAAATGCTGATGCAACTTTAGCCTTCAAGTGAGGGGGTGACCCCTACTTCCTCAGGAAGATGGGTCCATTTTACAGATACTGGTAGGTACCTGTGGGGCAGTTTTCCTTACTTGGAGCTGATCTGTCTTTCAAATGCTTCCACAGGTTGTTCCTGGTTCTGCTTTCTGGAGCCAAGCTGAATTAGTCTGACTCCTCTTAGATTCCATCTTCGCAACAGGCCTGGGAAACACATGGTATTATTATCCCCACTTTATAGATGAGAAAACTGAGACTCAGATGGGTGAAGTAGCTAGCCTGTGAGGTCACATGGATAGTAAGTTGGGCAGGACTGTGGACTCAGCACTGGTCACTGGGCCAGTGTTCCTTCCACTACACCATACTGATTTTCTATGTCGCTGTAACTGCAGATATAGTCTACAGAACATTGTACATAGTGAGCTGGATGCTGGCCTTGGAGTCAAGGAGCCTGAGGTTTCTGCCTCTAAAATTCTGCCTCAGACAGAACTTTAATCCCTGCTCTGCCACTAGAACGGCCGGGGTGACCTCAGACAAACCACTTAACCTTTCCCTCTGCCTCAGAGTCCTCATCTGTAAAATGAGAGAGTTAGGGACTAGATGATGTCTATCTTCTTTTCCAACTCTAGATCTCCTATCCCAAGGTCCTGTGATCCTATTTACTAGCTGGACAACTGACTTAATTGCTCTCAGCCTCAGTCTCCTCATCTGTAAAATAGGGTTAATAATACCTATAGCAATTACCCCACAGGCTGGGAGGGTCTAATGAGGTAATGTACATAGTGTACTTTGTAAACCTTAAAAGCATCCCATAAAATGTCAGCCAGTTTTATGATTAATACATTATAACCAAACAGCCCCATAAAACTATGAAGCTTCTCCTTAAATATCTTGTTGTTCCTCTTGAGCTAACTGCCCCCAGAACAGCATTTTGCTTACCTTGGGCTTTTGCTAACCCAATTAAGGACATAAAGCGGGTATGTTTTGTTGAGCTATACTTTCTTACCAAGTAAAACTATTTACTATCTCATTTAAACTCCTCTGTGACTTGTCCAGAGGGGCATACCGGGTGAAGAGCTCTCATTTACATTTAGGGCTAGCCTGCTCAGGGAGAAGATCATGAGAGCCATTGAGTGACTTATCTATTCTATGCTTCCTTGGTTACGGATGGGTGATCTCATAGAGGTGGGCATTCCCTCCAGTGGTGCAGATCTCCATCTCCCAATACACGTGGGCTCTTCTTGTGGGGCTCCTTTGATATCCTCCCAGAGATCCACCTAACCTGCTAGAGGTCTTCCTTTTTCTTTTTCCAGCATGTTTCCGTAGAAAGTGTGATGACCTCAGAATCCGAGGAACTAGTTTCAACTTCGTGCCCTACCACCCTTAGTGCCTTCCCTCTGATGATTACCTCCAAATTATTCTATTTCTTGTTTTTACCTAGTTGTTTGCATGTTATCATCCCCATCAGACTATGAGCTCCTGTAGGATAGGGACTGTCATTTACCATTTCTTTGAATCTCCAGTACTTAGCACATGGCCTGGCACATAGCAGCTGCTTTAAAAATGTTCATTAGAGGCAGCTAGGTGGTGCAGTGGATAGAACACTGGCCCTGGAATCAGGACGACCTGAGTTCATATCCAGACTCAGACATATAACACTTACTAGCTGTATGACTCTGAGCAAGTCACTTAACCCCAATTGCCTCTCCAAAAAAAAAAAGAAAAGAAAAGAAAAAAAA